CTCGCGCCACTGGATCACGTCATATGGGTGTGACGATTAATAAGCTCCAATGTAAATGCTAATACCTCACACTCTTGACTTCATACGAGTTCTTGCGTGCTCTTACCTCTTCCTAGTGCATCACACTCCGACCTCGGGGGACGAGTCACCCGTTCAAAAGTTTTTACTTGCGGGTTCAAACTACTAACCTCGGGCGGCGAGTTAAACTCTTGTTAGGGGCCTAGAGCCACGCTCTTCCGAGCAATTTTTTCACTTAATTGACATTCACATTTCCCGAAAAGGTCGATATACTTTAGTTCTGTGGGGTTGGATTATCCGTTCGAATGGTGACTCCGAGTCACTTACTCGCGGATTCAATCTTCCTTTCGGAGACTGGGTTGAGGCCTAACTTGGAAAATTGATGTCACTCTTTTCAAGTAGTGAGTCCGACTCACTCACTCACTGAGTCGTGGTTCAACACCAGACCAAATGCTCTATTATACACCTGTTGCTTTTATGTGTAGGTACGACTGAACGAGGAGTAGCCTGATGAGTTCAAGCCCGACGAGAAGAACGGTTCTAGTCGTCCTCTTCACAGATGGCGAGCATTGCAATAAAGGCTAAGGATTTCACCTCTTCTTCATCTTGGGGGCGTCAGGTGTACTCTTTTTCCCTTCATTGGGATTTTTTCCCATTGGGTTTTTTCCTAATGAAGGTTTTTAATGAGGCATCTCCCCGACATGGACAAGGGCGGGGATCTTCCAGTCTCGAAGAAGAGCAACTAACTTGGACTACTCCCTCTTAGCCGAGTTTACTACTCGACTAAGGGAGTGGGGGACTCGTGATGGAGTAATAGGACTAGGCCCAGAGCCTAATCGGCCCAAGCCCCGAACTTGGACCCGTGGATCCAAGTCCACAACCTGGAGCCTATCTACCAGTCCAGCGGGGAGCCTGTCAGTCCGCCCGACCTTCCAGCTGGGAAAAGTAACGGTCAAGCAATTAATGCGTTGTTTAATTATGTATTTAATTTCGTATTAATGTTGTAATTAATTAATTATTATTATCGATAGCGGTTACGATTTGTATACGCCTATAAAAGGCGGCTTGTAATTCAGATTAGGGGAGGAACTTCTAGAAGTCATTTCTGGCAACTCAATCTCCTAGCACTTACCTTTTATTTTCCTGCTTGAGTGTTCTTACGTAGCTTTCCTAAAAGTCTACGAGCGTCCTATTTTGGACCAACAATTCTCATTTGTCTCATAAGATCATTTTCTCATTTGAACCTAATTCAGTAACAAAGTTCACATGGTTATTGGAGGGAAAATTGCCACTCATTTTAATGGCATATTTGTAAATTACAATGTCATAACAATTAGTAATCTCACTCACCCGCCCATTACTATAAGATAAGTAAAGGTTTTATTCATGTCTAGCAGTAATAGAAATAATGACAAATATATGACTGAAATATTAGTAATGGACAAAAATATGACTTAGTGACTACCATAATAACTTTAGTGACCATGATTGTGTTCAACTCTACCACGATAGTGACTTGCATAGTAACTATAGTACTGTAATATTTTTGTCTATTAGTTATATATCGATAATATTTATGGAAAAACATCGCAGTGATATTGTGAGTTTTAGTATTATGGGTATAATTTTGTAGATACAAATCTTACATTTTGGAAAAGTAGTAAAGGATTGGCTTTATTTACGATTTTACGGTTTGAAACCAAACCAAACCAAATCATTCGGTTTATTAACTTTAGTGTCAAATGCTTTAAAGAGGAGAACTAAAACCAAACAAAGTCCTGCAGATTTTCTGTTCAGTTAGACCGAACAATTTTGCGCACCCCTAGAGGAAAGAATATGATTTCTCATAGAGTCTTATTGAAATGAAATTTATGGAGAGAAAAGAGATTAAAGTTACGGTATAAGTATAAAAATGCACAATATATTATGAGTATTCATCGGTTCAATTTAGTTGTCTTGATATTAGATGTTCGGTTTTTAGCCGATCAGTTTTAGGAAAGGTAAAACCGAGAACAAGACCATACAACTTGAGCTGCAGAGTCTGTTTCGGCCGGTTGTATCGCGTTCGGTCAATTTTAACACATTTTGGTCGGCTTTTGTACATCAGTTTCGCTTTCATTCAATTTGGTTTTGGTCGATTTCAGTTTTCAATGTTTTGTTCACACCGACAATATACGGAGTATACCATAATATTTATAGTAATAATAATAATAATATTATACGGAGTAATAATTTAGAAATTTATTATCATGCTTTACCCAAAAAAAAAGAAATTATTATCATGCTTTATAGATGTCACGGCAGTTTAAACTAAAGACACAGGGCAGTTTGCTGGAACTAAAATTTGAACTTGTGTCTCCTCCTCCCCGCCCCATCCCGCCTCGCCTCGCCTTCTAGGTGGTTGTCCGCAAGGTTTTGAAGTTCTCTAAGATTCCGAATCCCCAAATTATATTATCACAACAACTAAAGCAATTAAATAACTCACACAGCTGTTTGGAAATAAACTCCTAGATCACGGCTGATTTGGAGAAAAAGAAGGAGAAATAATCTCTCTTTTTTAAAGTGATATAACTTTAATATTTATAATCCAATTTTTACAAAAAATATATCAAAATTCATAACTTTTTATAATATTTCATATGACACCAATATCATACATATAAAAATAAAAAAAGATTTATTACTCTCTACTTCCCCTAGAAAGGCTCCCACATGATTTACGATATTTTACTCACCATAAAGTTAATTGATCTGTGTTCGTAATTAGATTTCTTTTATTAAATAATATTTACATATTCAGAGACTACATCAAAACTTTTATAAAGTCACAAAAGAAAAACTCATATTTGATATACGTTCGATATATTAAGTCACCAGATGCATAAGTGCTATTCATATTAATCACGCCAACTCATTTGAAGAAAATGAAGAAATAAAAATCTCTTTTAAAGCGCTATAATTTTTTTATTTGTATTATAATCTTTAAGAAAGTTTATATCAAAATTCATAAATTCTTATGATCTTGCATATGCCATCAATATTGTATATAAAAAAATAAACGTAAAATTATTATCTGATATAATAAAATAGAGTAATGAATCACTAATGTGACTGTTTCTTATTACTTAATAAATTCTATAATCACCAATACCCCTCTAGCATTTCATTAATTCAAGTTCACTCAGTGCTTCACTACTACTTACTCGGTGCATCATTGTTATTCACTTTAATCGTGTCAACTTAGTTAGAGAAAGTGGAAGATAATTTTATTTCTTTTTTTTTGTACTCCAATTTTTATAAGATATGTATCAAAATTCATAAGTTTTGTCAACTTTCATATTAAATCAATATTGCATTTATAAACATGAGTGACTTTATTATTATCAATATTTATAAGTGACTATTATTATAAAAGTGTAGGGTGTTGGTATCTATAATTTAATTACTCCACGGTATAATAGAAATACTACATATAATATAAAGGTATTGATAACACTTATCAATAGTTATAGTTATAATGATAATTATTATTATTATAAATATGATGATAAAAATGACAATGATAATCATAATAATAACGTAATCATACTCCCTCGAAAAACCTTAATAATACTAATAATACTCAATCACATAAAAAATATTTCGATCGGATTGGAATTATTTAGATCAGATTAAAATTAGAAAATCTCAGATCAAATTTGACAAATTCATATAAAAAAACTCACATCGTGGGATCATATATACAATGTCAGGCCAGGTTAGAAATTTCAAATTAGCTTAGACCAGATCTTAAAATTTTTCAGATCATAAATATTCATATGAGTCGTATTGAACAACTTCTTAATATCACCCATATTAGTGTAGTTTGATTCTCGGAATAAATCCCATATTAATTCATTTTCCAAAATAATTGCACAACATCAAATTCTTGGAATAACGAGACTCTAATACATGTAGTGGGACTCTATTAATATAAAATATAAAATTAATCTTACACATTTGAGTGGGGCTCTGATTCAAAACTGAATTCTTTAAATAATGGAACTTTAATTCACGCAGACAAGACTCTAATTGTACAATATAACGAATACACGTGAAAATATCCAAAATAATGTAAATTGTAAACTCCACATATTCCAAATTCCAATTCAACACTTCTTCTTATCATCCCTCATCATATAATTAGCGTATAAATAATTAATAACTATTACAACAATAAGCACATAAACCAAAATATAAATGCAAATTAGTACTCCATAAGATGGCAATTCTTCGTCCGTATTTCATGGTGGTGGTTAGTTCATAAAAAAAATCACCAAAATTTTGATCATATCATATGAATAGTTCACAATGTTTGTTAGTATTTGTCACCAGAACATATCAAACTAACACTGCCGGGGCATGCCCCCTTTAATGACTCCATTGCAGTTTTTTTATTTTTTTCTAAAGTGATATTACATTTGTTTTAGTTCGACCCGATCATTACATATATATTTTATCAATAACATTGATCCAAAATCAATTCTTACTGTAATCGTGGTATTCACAATCAAATGCTATATTTAAGCCTTTCCTGTTACAACATACTATGAACCTTTTTCAACTAATGTGAATATAACAATAAGCCTAAAACAAAAAGAATAACAATTCACATGCCCATCAACTTCTTAAACCCCCTTTCTCATTTCTTAGCAAAGTATTAATAAACTTATTCATTTTTTTCAATATAAAAGTTGTTATTAAAAAAAAATATGTAAATAAGTCATAACCTCTGTTAATATTTACCGCTTTAAATCATATTAACATGACACTACCGGGGAATGCCCCGGGTGTTACACTAGTAATATTTATAGTAATAATAATAATAATATTATACGGAGTAATAATTTAGAAATTTATCATCATGCTTTACCCAAAAAAAAAAAGAAATTATTATCATGCTTTATAGATGTCACGGCAGTTTAAACTAAAGACACAGGGCAGTTTGCTGGAACTAAAATTTGAACTTGTGTCTCCTCCTCCCCGCCCCATCCCGCCTCGCCTCGCCTTCTAGGTGGTTGTCCGCAAGGTTTTGAAGTTCTCTAAGATTCCGAATCCCCAAAACAGACGGAACGCTTACCAGACCCATATCTCTGAACCCTTGTTTCGCATGGCTTCTGATGCCCCTCGAGCTCGAATTGACCAGGTAATACCTGTCCATCACATGCATACAGTGTATATGGAAATGCTCTATGCAAATCTTTGAATTCAAACCCTAAAAGTTCACGAATTTTCATTTCTTTAGGATCATAGATGCGCATATCTTTATTAACAATTTCCATGACTAAAGATCAGTAATCATTCTTTTATGTTCTCTGTTGTTCTTATCAGTTCTTTGCATCAAAGAAGAAGAGGAAATTTGAATCTCCTGTCTTGAAATCTCCAGTATCCAGTAAAGATGCTAAAATTTCGACTGAGGGGTCACCAGGCACCAGAGGATTTCTTGAGAATTATTCAGTCAAATCTCAGGACAATTGTGAGTCTCTGGGCTCACCTGTTGAGAGAAATTTGACACTAGAGCTCGATCGAATTTCCAAAGATGAAGACGAAGTGGCAGTTCCCTCAAGAAAATCACACTCTCAAGGTCCTAAAACATCATACGAAATGTTATACAATGCAGGTGTTGCGGCCAGAGAGCATCCTAAAAATTCATCTGAACACATCCTAGACCAAAAAAACCTACAACTCAATCAATTTGCCAGTGAGTTCCTATCATTATACTGCAGGTACTTTACTTATACACGGAAGCTAAAAGTACTACTGCTAATAAGTTTGCAACCCCATACTGTAACATTTCTTTTGTTCTTCTTCTTCAGCAATATTGGCGGTTTATGCATTCTCTCTGTTCTCAGTGTTTATATTTTTCTTTTGTTCTTTTTGTGTGTGCATTATACAGTAAGAGACCATGCCTACCAACTAGTGAGGGCTTACCATTACATCAAAATGTGCATCCGTATAAAATACATTGTATCCCCTCTACTGCCGATAGAAGCTCTTCTTCTATTGAGGACAATTCAACTAGCTCTCCAAGGAATTATCTTCCAGATGCCCATGATGATGTTGTTCCCAAATCTGCACATGCAAATCCACATTCTTGTGAGGTAGGATACATATATGTCCCTACAAGTATATGTTTTTTTGTTTATAAAAACACTTTCTACCTTCATTTATGTTTTTATGTGCTATGGTAGGTGAACACAGATACACTTGCTGAACCTCAAATAAGCTTGAGAAGATGTAATAAGGTTCCTGTTCCTAAAGCAACTGAATCTCTAACCCCAGGTTTGTCTACTAAGGAACATGTGGCAAGAGTTACTCCAACATCAGGACATGGTGCCTCGATCTTTTCACCTGGAGAAAGTTTCTGGAATGAAGCAATTGAAGTTGCTGATGGGTTGTTTGCTGAAAATGAGAAAGGTACGTACCGAGTTACTGATGAGGATGTAACTGTGAGCACCCGACATGACATACTTAGTACCAACGATCTGATAAGTGGTGGACATGCCATAAAATTAAACAGAGTAACCGAAAGAGTTGTGGATAGTGTTTCTAGTGTGAGAATGGTTTCTGCTGCTGTGCCAATAAAGAAGATTGGGAAGGAAATGGATAAAGAAGTCTCTCCATTGCCTGTAAAGCACTTTGACTTTGCTTTGGAAGACAAACAAATGGCACAGATTAATGATTGCCATATTCTCAGTGGAAATGAAATTGGGCATGCTCCAGTAAACAGATTATTTACAGAAAAACTTGCAGGGGCCTACAAATATGATGTTTCTAAAACTACTCCTGATACTCTCGTGCAAAGCAATGATAGCGTAACTTTTAATACACCAACGGAGAGATCAGGAAAAGTCAGAGGTAATTCTGAATCCAGTGAAGACATCACTCCTTCAAGTTTTATGCCACAAAAAGATTGTTTAGATCTCAGCAATTGGCTCCCACCTGAAATATGCAGCACCTACAAGAGGAAGGGTATAGCAAAATTGTACCCATGGCAGGTAGTATTTTACTCTTTCGAAAAGTTCAGTGCCTTTAAATTTGTGCGGCACATTACATTGTTATGTTGGCACCAGATATCTTGCTTGAAGAAGTTAACACCATCCCCATGGTTAACAAAGATTCATTAACCCGGACATTACTTTTGAATTCCAGCCTACATCATGTTACACTGGACTCAATCTACTATTTGGATGTGCCGTTTTAGGAGATGATCACTGATTAGTTGGAATACAAATATACAATATAGTCAATAGGGGCATAGGGCATCATCAACTGTTTCTCTATCATGAAGCTTTCTAAAATGCACCTTTATCTTAGTATTTTACGGCATACAACTTTTTTTCAATTCTGCCTTTCTTTTGTTTTGTTTTGTTTTCTTGGCACTGGGTTATAGCTCTCTCCTTAATTATTGTGTTGTTTTTGTCAGCAAAATCTATTCGGTAATTATTTATACCTACAAGAGGAAGAATATGTTTATTACTTATTCTTCTCCTGTGATAATAACATTGCAATTGACCCTTCTCCATTTTTTAGGTTGATTGCCTGCAAGTGGATGGTGTTTTGGAGAATAAGAATCTGGTTTATTGCGCCTCTACAAGGTATGTATTGGGTTTATAAATTTTTGTACTTGTCATTTCTCTAAGCTTTCCAGATGGATTTACTGCCTAAACCTATATGATACGGAGTATTAAATAAGCTACTTGAACACTTATTCCTCATTGGTCTTAATTTTAATACATCACCGTAGACAAGAAAATAAACTGGGGTTTTAGCAGCCCCTGCCTCCATGTGTTTGTGTTGCTCTTTCATGAAACTTTAGATGAGTTGTGTGGAGAGAAAATTCAGTTTCATAATTTAGTAGTCAATCTTAGTTTTATAAGATATCATGAAAGAGCGATGAAATAAAGCTCACTTCAACATCAGATTTATAGGCATAACTCATAAGTTAGTAAGTTTTTGTCAAATCATTACTTCAGCCATGGATTCATGATTCACTTTTATATTATAGACTGTAGATGGATATAGCTTCTCCGTTATCGCTATCTAATTCTTATATACCATCAAATGGGTTATTGTTCATTCCAAGTGCTACCCCAATCTGCTTATCAAAGAAGATGAGCTCTGTAAAAAAGCATTGAAATGTGTAACATTTTACTTGCCTCCCATAACTTTCTCTAGTATATATTCCAAGAATTTTCACTCTCTCACCCATCTTTAGGAGAACTATGATTTCTTTATCCTCTTTACCATCCCAACTAAGACACTTTATTCCTTGCCAGTTATGAAATTGTGTACTCATATAGTCTTATCCTTCTAACCTCTACAAGTTATTGAGACATCATATTTTATCAATATGACAATGTCAACTCTATAAGAAGTTAACAGAACCAGATTATTCTTTATTGTATTTGACTTCACTTTTCTAATTTCTCACAGTGCTGGCAAAAGTTTTGTTGCTGAGATTTTAATGTTACGGAGAATCTTATCAAGGGGAAAAATGGCAATCCTTGTACTGCCATATGTATCCATTTGTGCTGAAAAGGTGCAGTTTTTTCATATTTAAAATGTTTTAGTTCTCTTTCATATCATCATATGTCACTCAGATGTTAATGTGTGGAAATGACACAAACAGGCCGATCACCTAGAAGTCCTCTTAGAACCACTTGGGAAGCATGTACGCAGTTACTATGGAAATCAAGGTGGCGGAACCCTTCCCAAGGACACATCTGTTGCTGTGTGTACTATTGAAAAAGCAAACTCCTTAATTAATAGACTGCTAGAAGAGGGCCGCCTGTCAGAACTTGGCATCATTGTGATTGATGAGCTTCATATGGTATATATTTGTTTTGTGGAATTGTAATAGTGCTATTTAATGTACTGCTTAATAGACTTTCACCGTCATGATAGGTCGGTGATCGGAACAGAGGCTATTTACTGGAGCTGTTGCTCACAAAGCTTCGCTATGCAGCTGGGGAAGGCAACACAGAATCGTCCAGTGGAGAAAGTTCAGGTATGAGCAGCGGGAAAGCTGACCCTGCTCAAGGTCTTCAAATTGTTGGAATGAGTGCAACTTTGCCAAATGTGGCTGCAGTTGCTAATTGGCTTGATGTGAGTATTCCATTCTTTTTGTTTGATACTAAGTACTAACCTAAAGATTATACAGTAATAGCTAGTAGCTACAAAGCGTCTTACAAGAACTAGTTCTTACATTCCACAATACAACTGCCTAACTATCCCAACATCTTTGGGTTCTCAATATTTACATCATTTTGTGTGTGTGTGTAATGTTATATGTTTATCAGTTATGAGTTTATGACTATCAATCAACAATGACTACGATAACATTCGAGACATGGCTGTACATTTACTCGAGTCCTAGACTCTTAGTGCACTCACAACACTACTTGCAGAAGATATAATTATTGTTGTGAGTCCTTTTATTGAATATGCACACACGTGTGTTTGTGTTTGTGTGCGTGTATTTGTATATTTATGCATCTGTTCCTTTGCCTCTTACATTTACTTATAAAAGGTTTGATTGCATTTATATCTTTGTTGGATTGTGGGTTGTGCCAACCTATGTGTGTTTCTGAAATTACCTGAAGAGCTTTGCAGTTCAGTTGCACCTTGTAGGCTGGTAGTGGAAGTATGACATTGAAGTTTACTTGTGATTTTTTTCCCTTGCTGAAACTGCACTAAATTTTCTGTGAAATTGTATTTTGAGTTTTGAATGTCAAAGCATTGATTTGATTGGATGTGAGCAAATCAAAACTTTATAGTTGTGGAACTATTTGAGTTCATAAGGAAGAGTACTCTTGATTAAATGCACGTTCTCACTGTGCATTGTATTACTATGCCAGTAAGGTGCCTGTGCTCAAGCACTTCACAGGATCACTTTAAGTTGTCTCATGCTTTGTGGTCAATCCATCAGTTGCTATGTGACCTAGGTAACCCTCTCTTTGTAGCTTCATTTGCCAACAATTCTAGGTTAAAGGAATGTGAATGTCACCATAAGACCTATACAAATCCTTCTGAGTGTACCCAATTCACAATAGTTGTCTCATGCTCTGTGGTCAATCCACAAGTTGTTATGTGACCTAGGTTATCCTCTCTTTCTAGCCTCATTTGCCAACAATTTTAGGTTAAATGAATGTGAATATAACCAGAAGATCTACACAAACCCTTCTGAGTGTACCCAGTTCACAACAACTGTAAAAGCATGACTTTGGTATGGATGCAAATGCACGTGACTACCAATTTGATGTGTGAGTCTATGAGTAGTTGTATATAAAAATGCAATTTGGTAGATCCTAGCAAATAGAAATTGGTTCCATAGTTTTATGTCGCCCTATAATTCGTTTCCCGTCTGGTTTGCTTCTCACAGGCAGCTTTGTACCAAACAGATTTCCGGCCTGTTCCTTTAGAGGAGTACATCAAAGTAGGCAACACGATTTATAACAGAAAGATGGAAATTGTGAGAACATTGCCAAAAACTGCTGAGCTTGGTGGCAAGGATCCAGATCATATTGTGGAACTTTGCAATGAGGTTATATCTCACTCTATCAACATTCTTTTGGAAAAGGCTTTAGACCCTAACAAGTTTGAATTTGATTAGGTTGTTCAAGATGGTCATTCCGTGCTAATTTTTTGCTCCAGTCGGAAAGGATGTGAAGCAACAGCTAGGCATGTTGCTAAGTACTTGAAGTTCTTGATCAGCCCCTGCAACAAAGATACTGAGTTTGATATTGATTCTGCCATTGATGCACTGCGAAGATCTCCTGCAGGCTTGGACCCTATACTTGAAGAGACACTTCCTGCTGGTGTTGCTTACCATCATGCTGGACTTATGGTAGCGTGCTATTTAGTTGTTATATGCTGTCTTTGTTCTGCTTTATATTTCAAAATTATCCATGCTCTTTTTATTTTTTTATTTTTTACCCTATCTTTTTATTTTATTCAACTTTCAAATTATAGTACTGTTTGAAGTGCTAATTGATGTTTCCTTTGTCAAGCTCGAGGAAAGAGAGACTGTTGAGAGTTGTTATCGCAAAGGACTTGTACGAGTCTTAACTGCTACATCAACTCTTGCTGCTGGAGTTAACCTCCCTGCCCGGAGAGTTATTTTCCGACAACCTCGTATCGGGTATGACTTTATTGATGGAACAAGGTACATGCAGATGTCTGGTCGTGCTGGTCGGACAGGGATTGATACAAAAGGAGAGAGTGTAGGTTTACCTTTTATTTTCATACCTTTATATGGGTTTCCTTAAACAACATATTATGCAGATTTACTTAACTTGTCATTCAGCATTCACATTTCAATTTGTTAGACAGGCTAAAAGTTGTTTTATCCTATTAGGTTATTAGATTCTTTCATTTTTTTTAACGCAATCTTTGTCCCTCTGTTTATCTTATGAGCTATGACTATCAAAGTTTTGTTATAAGTGTTTCATTTCTTTGTTGAATTAGGTGTTGATTTGCAAACAAGATGAAGTTAAAAGAATATTGAGACTTTTAAATGACAGCTGCCCACCATTGCATTCTTGCCTGTCGGATGATAAGAATGGAATGATTCATGCAATACTAGAGGTCGTTGCTGGTGGGATTGTTCAAACTGCTAATGATATTCACCGATATGTTAGGTGTACCCTTCTTAATTCAACAAGACCTTTTGAAGATGTGGTAAAGTCAGCACAGGATTCTCTTCGGTGGTTATGCCACAGGAAATTCCTTGAATGGAGTGATGATACAAAATTGTACACTATCACACCTCTTGGTCGAGCATCTTTTGGCAGTTGTCTTTCTCCTGAAGAGTCACTCGTAAATGTTTCAAACTTCTTTAATTTTATGCATCATTTTGAAAGAACTTGTTTTGCCTTCTCTTGGATTCTGACATAATTAATTGTCCTAGTCCTGCCTATCATGAATTACTAGGTTGTATTAGATGATCTCTTGAGGGCAAGAGAAGGGTTTGTACTTGCATCTGATCTGCATCTGGTTTACTTAGTCACACCCATTAATGTTGAAGTTGAGCCAGATTGGGAATTGTATTATGCAAGATTCATGGAACTTTCTGCTTTAGATCAGGTAAGAAATCTCTGTTCTCTAAGGCTTCATAGGTTAGTTAAGCAGTTTATACTGGCGGCACCTTGTTCGTGTGGATTATTGATCTATTTTTTCTCCTCTCTCTCGTTTTCTTTTATCCTTTATCTTCTTTATCTTTCGATGTTTTTATGTTGTTTCTATCTTTTATCTTTCTTATGTTCTTATGTTATTTTTATCTTTATCTTATCCATTTTAACTTGCCTTGTCTTTTTATTTTTTATTATCTTTCTTCTCTAGTTGGCTTTGATACCATGAATTGATTCATGTTAGCCGACCCAAAATCTTTTGGGAACAAGACTTGAATGTTGTTGTTGTATTTGTTATGTTAGTTATTGTGGATTACTGTTTTATTTTTGCTTTTGGTGCTCACACACACATATCTATATATATTAAGAATCACAAATCTAATAATTCAGAAATCCGTAGCATATATTTTTTAATGTTTACCAATACAAGGTCAAGTAATCACCCTGGTTACCCCCAAGAAATCAGTCTTAATTTCTACTCAGCATATGGACTTGTAGAAACTCAACATTTCTTGTAGCTGAATGTTTATTTCATATACTAGTTTTGTGCTTTATATAATGTTCTACTTAACACTTAAGAATGTATTCATAAACTTTTTGAATTAATATTATGCACTAGTTTAAGAAGATATTGATATTTATATCATATTGGTTGATTATTATATCCTTTCCTGTATTTATGATGCACAGTCGGTTGGCAATCGAGTTGGGGTTCAAGAACCGTTTTTGATGCGCATGGCTCATGGAGCTGTTCCAGGTCACAGCTTTAACAGATCTCGGGAGGCTAATAAGGGATTGCAGGTAAAGCTTGACCGCAGATCTGGGATTTCAAATCATGCCATCCTTTCAGATGAACAAGTTCTGCGAGTGTCTAAACGGTTCTTTGTGGCTCTCATACTGACAAGACTTGTACAGGTGTAATGTCTGGTCTGAGCATTACTTTCTACATTTGAGTTTCTTCAACACATGAGGATGAGATGAATTTGTTACTAGCTTATTGTCTCATAATTTTTATGCCTAAATGCTGTTATGTTGGAATGAAGGAAGTACCTGTTCCAGAGGTATGCAATGCTTTCAAAGTGACAAGGGGCATGGTTCAGGGACTACAGGAAAACGGTGGGAGGTTTGCATCAATGGTGGCTGTCTTTTGCGAAAGACTAGGTTGGCAGGACCTTGAAGGATTAGTTTCCAAATTCCAAAATCGTGTTTCATTTGGAGTCAGAGCAGAGATTGTGGAGCTCACTAACATACCTTATGTTAAGGTAATGCAGTTTTTAGAATTCCTACCTTGCATATAAAAAAATTAAATAATGAAATGTGGTTTGCGGACAAATCTGGTTACAAGGGTTCCCGGGCTAGAGCACTTTACAAATCTGGTTTGCGGACTCCTCAAGCAATTGCAGAAGCATCGCTTCCTGAAATTGTGAAAGCACTTTTTGAATCTTCATCATGGTCTGAACAAGGTATTCTTTGTAGGATACCTTTTAGCTGATTTTTTCTCAATTGTCCATTCTTTTAAATTACTTTCAACTAGTGATATCTAACCTGAATTCCCTTCATATTCAAAGGACTTGCTCAACGAAAAATACAATTAGGAGTTGCCAAAAAAATAAAAAATGGTGCCCGCAAGATTGTTCTTGAGAAAGCTGAAGAGGCAAGACTTGCTGCATTCTCAGCTTTCAAATCACTTGGACTTGATGTCCCACCCCTTTCTCTACCTCTCCTACCAATTGCTGCAGCAGATGCTGATCGGAAAGAATCAAGCACCTCTTCTGGAGAAAAGTCGACTAGCAGTTATGTGCATACGGAGCAGATAAACCGTGCCACTTCCACATCAGGCAAGGAAGGTGAGGCATACCTGTTAGCCCTAAGCTAACACTAACCTGCAGGGCATTTGGTTTCCTTTAAGAGATAAGATTACCTTGTATGTTTGGTTCATATGGTGAGAATGTAAAGTTACATTCGAAATGTATTTATTTATTTTTAGGAGAAAAGAAGAATATCAGGAAGTATTCCAACAATACGATAAGAAACATAACTACATAAGGTAATCAAATTACAGCATTACCCCATTTGCCTACTGGTGGCGATAATATGATTGACAATATGATAACTTAAACCAACTGAGGTAATATAACATTACCAAGCTCACATTAGCCAGGTAATCTGAAATAACACGAGCCAACCCCCCCAAGTATTATGGTCGTAATACTAGATTATGTATACAAGTTATGAATATAAGTATAAGCAATTCCATGATGGACTGTAATGTCAGATGATCCCAAGTTAATCCTGACCTTAATTTTAATGGACCTTAACCCTAGGGTATGTATATGACTAACTATAGTGGATATTATCATATTATATTATTATGTACATATTATATAATAATTGTAGCCATTTGTATTATGATTTTCAATGCAATATAGGGATTGATAAGGTAAGTGGTTTTATTTCAGAAACAGGAGAAGATAAATCAATTGGGAGATTACCTATACAATATGATGTTATGGCTGATGAACCTAATTCACTTGCAGAAGGGTATAGAAGTGGCAATGCTGAAATTAAAACAGCCACTCTTCCTCTTGAGATCAATAATGATGAAGGGAAGTCCAACGATGATGTTGGTCATATTGTGCAGGAGCTGCATGACAAAGATGGGATAAGTAAAACAAATGAGAAGATTTCACCAAAGAAGGGCCCGATCAATGCAGTTAGTAGTCCTGGAGGATTTGATACTTTCTTGAATCTCTGGGATGCTTCTAGAGACTTCTATTTTGATATCCACTTTAATAAGCGATCTGATCTGAACACCATTGTGCCTTTTGAAATTCATGGCATAGCAATCTGTTGGCAAAACTCTCCAGTGTATTATGTCAGTTTTCCCAAAGATTTGTTTTGGTCAAGCAACCGAAGAAATCTTCTGATGTCCAATGCTTCCGGCGATAATGATGCTCCATCTCCAAAACATCAATGGGAAATGGCGATGCAACGTTGGGATAGAATAAGAACTATAATGGGGAAAAACGGTGTTAAAAAGTTCACTTGGAACTTGAAAAAGCAGATTCAGGTGTTTAAGTTCCCAGCTGTTTCCACTGTGAGATATGGCTCTGTGAATGCTGCTGCCAAAGCTGCGGGCTTGAATCTAATTGAAGGTTCTTACTATGTTTTGTCTCCTGTTCATTTGCAAGATGCAGTTGATGTTTGCATTGTTGCATGGATTCTTTGGCCTGATGAGGTGAAGGGATCTAGTCCCAGTCTGGAGAAGGTAAACGTCACTGCTGTGTGACTAGATTGTGTACCCTTAGCATGCATAAAAAGGAACCTCCACAATTATGTACCATCACCCCTCAGTATTATGTATCCACATGATGCTCCCTGCTCCTATTATTTGGAGTTGATATACTGAGGACCCCAGTCCTGGTAGGAATCTCCATGACATTCCATGTGTAGTCATCTTTTATGGAAAATAAAACTTCAAAGTCCCTTGAAGGGAATGAGAAACGAGTCAGTCTCTGGATACATCAGCCATTTAGCAACATAAAATGGTCACTCTATCATCCTATACTTTCAAACCTAAAAAACTTGCATGCTTTGGAAAGTAGTGGACCCCACACGACAAACATATGATCACACACTGTTCTTCCATATTTCTTTTGATTGTTGCTTATAATTGATCTCTTTGGTCTTAATTATATACAGGAGGTTAAGAAAAGGCTATCGAGTGAGGCAGCTGCAGCTGCTAATCAGAATGGTAGATGGAAGAACCAGATGCGCAGTGCTGCTCATAATGGTTGTTGCCGCCGAGTTGCACAATTGTATGCCTTGTGTTCGGTTCTGTGGAAACTATTAATATCTGAAGGTCTTCTTAAGGCTCTCACAGAGATGGAGATGCCATTGGTAAATTGACCTGCATCCTGATCTTGGTGTCATAATTAATACCCCGTGCATGATTACAAAGCTTTCTGATTGCTAGCTGAAATTTAGTTACTTACTGTTTTGAGCACATTTTGCTTTAGTACAGGGGTAAGAGTGCGTACATCCGACCCCCCCTCCCCCCGTACCCCATCTTAGATGGGAGCCTTTGCGGCACTGGGGTAATGATGATGATGATGATGACTGTTTTGAGCACATTTGGGATATTGTGATGAAATTCTGACTATTTTTCATGGGGTTTCCCCTCCAAAAAATAAGGATGACGTCAAAACATATATCACAGCTCAACTTTTTTCTGATTTATATCTTTAAAAGTTTATAGTATAAACTGTTAATCTATGTTTAAAACATTGAAGTTGTACATTGTGGGAAAGGATGATGTTCGGAAAGAAATGGAAAAACTTATAATTATACTGTTGATGCTAAAGTAATATTTTGGTTCCCTCTCCCATCACAATTCCTTGGGTAGCAACAAAAAGATATGGAATGATTTTTTCTTCCATTAAGTGATTTGGTTCGTTATGAACATGATAACACGGCCAGTATCACAGGATTCATGTGCCATGAGTTAATTTCTGTTTTCTCTTAAATGGCACATACTGAGTGCAACCCGTTCTTTCTTAATCTTCCAGTTCTCTTTGTTCCTGACTCTTTGCTCCTGACTTTTTGGGTCCTATTTTATTGTTATGTTTAAATGCTTTCTTCCATGTCAACTGCATAGTAGGCTAATGAGTATTCTTTAAGGAAACTTGTACTATATCTCAATTTACACATTTCCATGTAAAACAGTACAGTTTAGTTCATTGTAAATATCTACAGGCTGCACTTTTATCGTTATGTTTTAATTCATAGCAGTGCCACAAGGGTGCAATTGGTCAAATTAATTATTCCTTTGAGTTGCCACAACTATACCACAAGCGTTCCTCATTTATCTAAAAGTGTTTTCGGTTTATTCAAACCATTGGCAATTGAAAATTGATTGTTGTCAACTTGATCTTTTTGTTGTTAACTTGATCTTTCATCGTGCTTTGACTGCTTTCTGCCATATTTATATCAGTTTGCATATTTAACAACCTTGCAGAAATCTCAACTGGACACAACTTGTGAAACTAAGGAATTTTAGTGCACATAACCAGAAGGATCTTAATATGAGTTTTAGTGTGTGTATTACACGTTAAAAGTTATATGAGTTAATATTACAAATGATATAAAATCTCTAATAAATAATACTCCCTCCATTCTTTGTTTGCTACACTTTCCTTTTTCGAGTGTATTTTTAATTTTTGCTACACTTTCCCTTTTTGGTAAGTTTTCCCTTTAAAAATAGTCAATTACCCCTACTTTTTGTACTTTTCCTTTAAAAATACTCATTACCCTTTAATAATACTCCCTCCGTATTCTTACTTTTCCACCTCTCCTACTTTTTTACACTATTCATACTATTCATTTTAATTTTTTAATAAAGAGGGGACTTAGGCGTCCTAGGCTTAGCGCTGCTAGAACATTGATCATAGTATTTCCGATTGCAGTAACACAATTGTTCAGTAAAGTACATTTTTTAGATGGTTATAAAGTGATTCAACCTATTTCTCAAGAACTATGGAAATTGTAGTAGCCGTTTCTCGGTTTCTCCATGAATTCATTTATTTCTATGTATCAAGGATATCCCTACAAAATAAATTATTGGGTAAAAGATATGATATTCCTTTCTCATTGAAATTTAACTAATGTAGTTTCATTCTATCTGTCTTTCTTATCGGTTGTCTTCTTAGGTTGATGTTCTTTCAGATATGGAGCTGTGGGGAATTGGCGTTGACATGGAAGGATGCTTACGTGATCGTGAAGTTGTGCGGAAAAAGTTAAAAAGTTTAGAAACGGAAGCTTACACATTGGCCGGCATGACCTTCTCATTGAGCACAGCTGCTGATATTGCAAATGTTCTTTATAACCACTTAAAGCTCCCTATGCCAAAGAGAGATGACAAAGGGAAGCAGCACCCCAGCACTGATAAACATTGTTTGGGTTTGCTAAGGTATAAAGTGTATCAAGTGCCTTGCTGCACAAGTAATGATGTATTTTCCATTGACGCGAAGTCACTTTCCAGGAGACTAAAAACCTTTTGATCTTTTTGTTGATTGAAAATCCTTTTCTTCCATGTTGAAAAGGATTGTTTGTGCATGTTGAATTCTTTGTGCATCTATTGCAAGCTAGTGATTCTATGTCGGATTGTTGTTTATGTTATGTGCAGAACCTTTTGCTCTGAATGATGATAATTTAAGAAATCCCTTTTGCTCAGCTGATCTGTTTCACCAATTCGTCAACTCCAATCTTTTCTACCTTTATCTGAAATTTTAAGTTCATGCTGACTTGCTGTTTATTTTGGGCATGTGATATATGTAGTATATTTTTATAAATTTTTCCTTACCATCTGTACAATTTTGATAATCACTTGAAAACTTGAGCAAAGCTTCTAGCTAGGGCTAGATGCATTATTACAGTAAGGATGCTTATTTCCTTCCCTTCCTTTGCTGGACTCTTCTTCACTTGTAGGAATGAGCATCCAATTATTCCAGTCATCAAAGAGCACAGAACACTGGCAAAGCTCTTGAATTGTACATTAGGTTCAATTTGCTCACTTGCTAGGCTATCTATGAGGACTCAGAGGTACACGCTGCATGGTCACTGGCTTCAGACCTCAACAGGTACTGGACGACTTTCAATGGAGGAGCCAAATCTTCAGGTTTGTTACTGCCATATCTTTTTGTTGTACATTGTGCTTCATATTACACTCTGCTGGATAATAATTTTCTTGAAGACACATATTAATCTAGCATCCATAATTCTTCTTTCTGGTATACAGTGCGTGGAGCATATGATTGACTTCAAAATGAGTCACACTGATAAAGCTGATGGTGAGTCGGATACCGATCATTACAAGATCAATGCTCGTGAATTATTTCTGCCTACTCAGGTATCCTTTTTTAGTTTTTGAAACCAATGACTACCGGTAGGTTTATTACTTTTGGTAAAACAAGCATTTCTTTCACTTAATATACCTCAATATTTTCCCAATTTTCAGGAGAACTGGATATTTCTAACAGCTGACTACTCTCAGATTGAATTGAGACTCATGGCCCATTTCTCAAAAGATTCTTCTTTGATTGAGCTCCTAAGTGATCCCAATGGTGATGTTTTCACCATGATTGCAGCGAGGTGGACAGGGAAGTTACAGTCTATGGTGAGCTCTAAAGAGCGAGACCAAACTAAGCGGTTGATTTATGGCATTCTCTATGGAATGGGAGCTAAATCTCTTGCAGAACAACTGGACTGCAGTACAGATGAAGCTTTTGAAAAAATTCAAAGCTTCAAAAGATTTTTCCCCGGTGTTGCTTCCTGGCTACAAGAAGCAGTTTCTTTCTGTCAAGAAAAAGGGTGAGGATGAAATGGCTAATTTGTTGCTATTACCTTGCACACTAAAAAAGTAGTAATGGTATCATTTATACAAGTGTGAAACTGAAAAACGAAAAGACTTACTGAAGCCACTGGTTTCTAACTTTTAGGAACATTGTTCATTAGTACTTTTTCTAATCAATTAGTTGCCAAACTAATTGATTCTGGTGTCATAGTCCATGTCAGTACTACAACCAAGTGATTCTTGATTCTTAATGCCACACCATTACCATTCTTATAATACAAACTTATCATTGCATTTTCTCTCTTTTCTTTTTGAATTAATAGAATTGCACTTTTAGCTAACATCTAGTATTGACAGTTTATCCATTGATATAAGCATTTCTCCAGCATGTAGGGATATTTGTTCTTTTTTGGCCTTTTTGAATATTTGTTTTAAACAACTGAAACCATTGTTCTTGTTCAGGTACCTTATTCAAACTGACAGTATTGTAGCATATACTGTACCGTTGTCTCTCAGTAGACTACGTGTCATCCGGAAACAGTCTCTCTGTACTTTAGTACAGGGGTAAGACTGCGTACATCCGACCCCCCCCTTACCCCATCGTAGGTGGGGGAGCCTTTGTGGCACTGGGGTAAATGAAAATGAAAAAAATGTTGTCTCTCAGTAGACCTCCTAATAACCCTTGTTCAAATGCTGATTAGAGTTTTGAACTTTGTCTATGTCAAATTTCTATGCTTTATAGATAATCCTTGCTATATATCTATTGTTTTAGTCGTATTTTTATACAATTTTATGTTATAATTTCATGGAGTAGTTATGTGGAGACTCTTAATGGCCGAAAGCGTTTCTTGTCAAAAATCAAAGTTGGGGACAATAAGGAAAAATCTAAAGCTCAGCGACAAGCTGTTAATTCGATTTGTCAGGTAGTTTTGCTCCCCTTTCATCCCTTAGTTATTTTTTTTGTTGATATTCGGGAAAATGGGTCTTTGTCTTTGCATCAACCCAGGCTTTACTCCAGTGTTTGAATTTCAAAGTAAAAATTGTGGCAAATTTTGAGATTCCTCCTATAGTAGTGGTAGTAGTAGTAGTAGTAGTAGTAGTAGTAGTAGTAACAATAATAATAGTAATAATAGTAGCACTGTAACAGTACTGCAGTAGTAGCAGTATTAATGATACTAATAATTCTTATTATAGTTATTCCTCTATTGCTTTCAAAACAGTTTTCACGGATAATGGTATATGCTGCTTTTCAGGGATCTGCTGCTGACATTATCAAAATGGCAATGATAAATCTTCACTATGCAATGGTCAAGGATGTTCCTAACTCTAGATCTAGTTCTGGTTTGCCTGAAAACACTGGCATGCTTAAAGGGAGATGTCGAATCGTCTTACAGGTAGTATCAACATATTGATTAAAATCTGCTCCAAATATTATCTTGTTTAAATATCGAATGAGATCATAATTATTGGCTTAGTATGACATCCCTAGTTTATGCATATTAAAGTGTGCTAATCCTTGTATTATTTCAATTTCATTTATCATCCAAAAGAATTGGAGAAGTAACTAAAAGTATCCGGGCATCATTATGACCAATAGCTTTACAAGCTTTTCAAGAGACTTAGATTTACCTTCGTATTGTTTCAAAATTACTTTTTGTCCAGGTTCATGATGAATTAGTCCTAGAAGTTGATCCTCCTGTTGTCAAGGAAGCTGGAATGTTGCTACGTATGAGCATGGAAAATGCAGCCACACTCCTTGGTACAAATTCCTTTCAAATTTATACTCCAGATGAAACAATGGGGGTATTGGATATCAGTAACTTGGGGGGCGCGGACTTGCAGGGGTTACAGTTCTATAATTCTTTCTATACCGAAGTTTATTTCCCCCCTTCATCATTTTCTTTTGCCCTTTTTGATAGACAAGTCCTTTTAATTTTTTATTTTGTGTGAAGGGGGAGCCTTAACACACTAGTTATGGTGTTGCTGTGGCCTCTCTCTCTGCGGGGTCGCCACTGTGCATCGGGCTGCGCTTATTTTAACTTTGTTTATATTGTGTGGGGGGTTTACATTCATTATGAGTATTTTGAACAGTATCATACTATCATTGCTACTACCTTCGTATTTTTTTGTTTGTTACATTACCTTTTTGACAAAGTTTGAGAGTAAAATAGGAGGGTAGTGAATAGTGTAGAAAGAGTAGAAGAGAGGTTGGGAAAATATGAAAGTGAAGATGAGAAGTAGAAAACGCAAGGGTAATTGAGTATTTGTAAAAGGAAAAATGTTCAAAAAATTCAAAATACTTCCCAAAAAGGAGAGTAGCAAACAAAAAAAGGATGACCTCTCCCTTGTGGAACCCTCTTCCTACTAGGTGAGCTACGCTCCCTATAAGGATAGTAGCAAACAAAAGAATACGGAGGGAGTGTTATCTTTTCTTCGTGCCAAACTGATTTTCACGTCTGATTTTTCAGTACCGCTTCGTGTCAAACTGATGGTTGGAAAGACATGGGGATCTTTGGAACCCTTCCACGTTGAAGGACCTCATGATAATGTTATGGTACTCACTTAATATGACATGCATGCGTTGGTATTACATTGCGTTGTGGGCAAAACACAAATTGTATATTATGGCTGAAGGTATTTTTTTGGAATCACGTTGATATTTTCTTCTTCCATAGCACTGCATTGATAATTTCATTTTCCTACTTTTCTGTTACAACTTAAGCTACTGCATATTTTAGGCTTAACTATATCTTATTCGGCAATGGCTCTTCACGCACCCCTATTCTCCATTGGCTCTTTTGGCTATATTTTGAAGACTTGAAGGGTTGAAAATGGTTACAAAGTTTTGTTCACAGTAGGATGATCTGATGATGTAACAAAGCTTTCTCTGCTCAAACAAAGTTCTTTAACAAAGTTTTATGGCTACGCAGGTCAGAATCCATAACTATTTGTCCTCTGGGTTCACTTGGAGATTTTGGCACATTGAGCATGTATATAAAAAAAGGCAATCATAAAACAACACTTCTCTTCATTTGGTCCCTTTTAATACTCTTTTACTCTTGTTGTGTAGTCTCTTCTAGCAAAAAGGGATCCAAGTGAACATGTTAACTGTCTTGGCAGAACAAGTTTTCTCGGTCCAAGTTATAGTGACTGAACTGCTGGTAACTGATTGGCTTATAGCTGCTGGTTAAAGCAGAGAGTTCACGTCGCGTAATTGGTTTGCACTAAGACTGATGAAAGATTGATTTGGTACTGCATTACTATCACTGGAAGTGCTTTATGCGATATGTATAGTTCAAGTAATAAGAAAAGGAATTTGTCAAAAGGAAAACATGCTTATTCTTCTCTGGAACCGGGGGTAACATTGTCCAATGTCCAGGGCTAAATCTTTTGTAGCTCTAATGGGGTCAGCAATGTTGACTGGGGTAATGTGCTTCAGTTGGACTTGGTGTACACACTTTTACACATGTCTGTGTAGATTTTTTTTTTGTCTGTACAGACAAAACGTTTTTTTGTCTAAATAAAATTTTGGTGAAAGGAACTAGCAATTTGACAATTTGTGCAGAGTAGACAATGCATTTACGTTTTTTACGTAATTATTAGCGATTTAAATATTTATTTGCAATTTTACTTATTTGTGCACGTACTTGTTCGTTCATTAATTACTGATGGACACGTTCATTCGTTGATTTTCTTTGCACTATTTTATTGGATACCTATAGTGCTGGACTCGGGCCGGGCGGCCCGGCCCGGAACCGGCCCGGTTACTGTTTGGCCCGGCCCGGCCCGGGGCCCGGTGGGTCCCTCGGTTCGGTCCGGCCCGGCCCGGCTGCTGGGCGGTTCGGGTCCGGGCCCAGGTTTTGGTGAACCGGCCCGGATTTTAATTTTTTTAATTTTTTTTTGAAATTTTTTTAAGTTTTAGGTTGGATTAGGTATTTTGGGCCATTTGAAGTGGTTTGGGATGGTTTGGGGTTGAGGGGGAGGGGTAGGGGATTAAATAGGAGAACAAAAAAAAAAAAATTATTGGGCCGGTTCGGCCCGGCCCGGCCCGGTTTGGCCCGGAACCGGGACCGGAACCGGCCACCGGCGGTTCGGGCTCGGGCCTCCCTTTCCTGGCCCGAGGCCCGGCCGGGCCCAGGCCCGAACCGGGCCCGAACCGGCCCGAGTCCAGGCATAGATACCTATTTGAGTATTTGACCGTCCAAAATGTACTTGGACAGAGTTTTTTAATTTCCCAGTTTAGAACTTTATAAAATTTGCACTCTGCTTATTCCCTCCCATCATTTCCGGCCGAGTGAATTTGGGATTTTTCCACCGGAAGTTTTGATGAAAACTTTTGAGCAGTTCATCACTTCATCATCAAATTTAATTTAGGCCCACCAAATTTCAACTTAAAATTCATTTGGTAAGATAATCAAATAAATTTTGAAAAAAATATGCTGTTTTTGTATAGTTTTTGTATAGAATTTATTTAACTGCCTTCTCGTTTGCATTTTAGTTGAAATTTGGTATACATAAACTAGACTTGATGAAGAACATTTACGAAAAAATTCACTGGAAAGGGCCCCAAATGGCCTTAGCCTAACGGCGGTACGCCGGTACCCGTCAGACCGGCTTGATATGATCTGGTCTATATGTGTGTGGGTACACGTATTTTTGTCCAAACACACACACACATTCTTTTTATCTTTTTTATCTTATTGTTTTTGAGTATATTTTATCTATTTTATCTTATCTTTTATGTTATTTTTATCACATTTTATCTTTTTATCTTTCTTACTTTTGACGATGATATTATATTATTATGTATCGATTAGTGTAGTTGACTCCAAAATCTTTTAGGGCCTTCGATGTTGTTGTTGTACTAACACCATTTTTCATCAAAAACTCTACCCAAGTATATTTTCCACCTAGTCATGGACCCGGTTCGGGCCGCCCGGCCCGGGATCGACCCGGCCCACTACGGTGCGGGCCTGGAACCGGCCCGGTTCTTGGGTCCGGGTCGGGCCTAGGCCCGGTGGGGGGGGGTCCGGGCTCGGGCCCTCCATTTGGTGAACCGGCCCGGGCCGAATTTATTTTATTTTATTTTTTTTATTTTTTTTTTTAAGTTTTTGGGTTGGGCTGGGTATTTTGGGCCATTTGCGGTGGTTTGGGGTGGTTTGAGGGTGAGGGGGTGGGTTGGGGGTTAAATAGGAGAAGCCAAAAAAAAAAAATACAAACCGGGTGGCCCGGCCCGGAACCGGACCCGGAACCGGTGGCTACTGGTTCGGGCTCGGGCCCAACAAAACTGAACCGAGGCCCGGCCGGGCCCAGGCCCGAATCGGCCCCGAATCGGCCCGGGTCCATGCCTATTTCCACCCATCCAATTATTTATTTAATTTACACATCCATTTTTAAATTTTATGTTTCCTAGTTCAAACTAATTTAAATAAGGGAAAGTTCCCGAAATAGGACTAAAACAGTTTGAAAATTTCAAAATAGGACTGTCATGTTTTTATTCCCAAAATAGGAGTAATTATTGCCAAATTTGAAAAATACTGCCATGTTTGAAGTCTGGTACTGCCAAAACATGACAGTAGTTAGTCTTATTTTGACTTTTGAGAATAAAAACACGACAGTCCTATTTCGGAATTCTCAAACACTTTTAGTCTTATTTTAGGTAATATTCACTTTAAATAATTATTTGCCTAAAAGTTCTGCCTTTGTGCTATTGGAATTCTCATTTGAAATTGAGGGAACATATCTTGTATATATTACATTTTAATAGGTTTATTTTTGGCCCATTTGGTGATCATGTTTTTCCAGCTTGTCTATTTTATCGGTCACTTTTTCACCAAACACGTAAGTTTTTATTTCACCTGTTGGATTGCACAATGATCAAAATAATTAGAGATATTACCCGAAATAGGACTAAAAAAGTTTGAAAATTCCAAAATAGGACTTCCATGTTTTTATTCCCAAAATAGGACTAATTACTGTCATGTTTTGGCAGTACCAGACTTCAAACATGACAGTATTTTCCACATTTGGCAGTAATTAGTCCTATTTTGGTAATAAAAACATGACAGTCCTATTTTGGAATTTTCAAACTTTTTTAGTCCTATTTCGGGAACTTTCCCAAATAATTATGGTTAGAGTTACTTTTGTTGCTTAATTGATTAGAGTTATTGTTGAAGACCGTTTTAGCTATTTTCATATAATTTTAATGTTTACAATAGGGATTCATTTGCTTAGGATGCTTTTACTTGAACTGTAATCTGTTCTAGACTAGAACAAACAAGGCCAGACTTTGGTCGTTATAAAAATTCATAGAGACCATACATTACCAGACTAGACCAGATTAGACCAGATCAGACTAGACAAGACAAACAAATTACAGTCCTACTAAAAACATCCTTAATCGTCGGTCAAAACTCGTAAACCGCAATTCGACCATCAAATTGGGAACATGTGAGTATATTGTAAACATAATTTTTCCATAATAAAGCACATTCAGCCAACTAAACGGTTTCAGCCATAACTTCATCAATTTCATCTTATTCAGTTGATTTCAGTGTCATCAAACAAATCCTATATTTATGCTAATATAATACTAGTTTCTTCATGCGCTTTACGCGATATGATAAATGCCCAGTGTAATATCAATCATTTTAATTGCCCGATATAGTTATTTGAAATAATGAATACATTTGCAGTAACATATAAATCATTTTTTCTTTTTTGTTAACGGAACATTAAAATTTAAAAATGATAAAGTTGTGCCGTCGTGGTCAATATGTCATTTGAAATTGGAGTACTTCACAACCCATCTGGAGTAACATACGAGAGTCAAACTACCTCCAAGTGATGCTATACTTCAAAATTTCACATGCCATCTTCATGGCTTCTTTAAAACTGGAGGCTTGAACGGGGAGATTTACATAAACTCCTAAAACCCATCAGAGATGCAACACAATCGATTGCACACAACCAAATAGAAACAAAATGGCAGAGATGCAAAACAATAGAAAGTTTGTGTGAAGATAACAGTAATTTTTATTTTCCCCAAATTAGAAAACATATTGAAATATAAGTATCTTAGGATTATTGTATATCTGCTTTGAGATATTACTCAAGTTTAGTTAAAGGATACACTGCTTATGTGTGTATAATATATACTCCGTATTAGTCAACATGACTGAAAATAGACACTATTTATGATCTAAGAAACTATGGAAGGTGGAATATTGTTCTCTCCCATTCACATTCAATCAAACAATACATAGATACTCCAGTTGAAGCAATGCGTTTTTATGTTGACATTTATGTTCCTTTTAGATTATAGAAGTTGCTTTCTATATAAATAGAAAGATGCTTCATATAAGAGAAACATGGAATTGAAAAATGAATATTAAAAACTTAAAGATAGCCATCTTCATGGCTTCTTTAACCAAATAAGAATATCAAGAAGATGAATGAAAATCAATGAGATTTGCCAATATCAAGAAGAAGAAAATCATGAAAATCAATCATGTATATGTGCAAACCAAAGTATCGAATCAACAAAGAGAAAAAACTTTAGTAAAAGACTACCATATTCATATATGATCTCTTAACATATTTAGTTGATTTGTAATAATGTCTTGATTTGTATATCCCTTAATATCCTCTTGTATTTATTTCCCCTTCCTTTTGTACTCCCTTGACTCTTGTATAAATTGACATAATGTAAAGGATTCCCACAAGGGATTTTACTGAATCTCCAATATGGTATCAGACTTAGTCGGTCCATTCCTGTGTGTTCCACCAGTTTTCTCTTTTTCTTCCAACCATGGCCGGTGAAACTCCTGCTGCCCGCACACCCATTCATCCAGCCCTTACTCTCACCAACATCAAAACACATATTCCTATCACTCTCGATCTCAAGGACGATGAGTATACTTCATGGGTGTTCTTATTCGAACTTCATCTTGAGGCTCACAACCTTATGTTTCTCATTAAGGGTGATGCTGCCCCTAGCACCATTGATGGCCCTACCGCCAAACAGCTAGATGCTCTTGTCCGTCAATGGATGTTTTCCACCATGTCCAAGGACTTGATGCTCACTGTCCTCAAATCCGGTAAAACTGCCAAGGATCTATGGGACCGTCTCAAGACTCTCTTCCAGGACAACAAAGGCACTCGGGCAGCTCTTCTCGAAAGCAAGTTTGTTAACTTGAAATTCACCGAGTGTTCTGATGTTGATGATTACTGTGACCAGCTTCATAAGCTGGCTGAGCGTCTCCAGGACCTCGATTTTCCGATGGATGACAAGCGTATGGTTATTCAATTGGTCAATGGTCTGCCTCTAGAATATGATACAGCGGCCTCCTTCATCTCTCAGTCTATGCCTTCGTTTGAAACTGCCCGGTCCCACCTACGCACAGAGGAGCAACGCCGCCGGGCCCAACACCAATCCGCAGCACCTTCCACTGCTCTGGCGGCTCAAGAAACGAACCCTGGTGCTGCGTTCACTGCCTCCTCCAGTAGGCCGGCGCACTCTGCTCGTCCGACTCCGTCTCGATTTCCGGCTAACCATGGTGGCCGTCACAATCGATCGACGAATCGGCGACC